TATATATATATATATATATATATATATATATATATATATATATATATATATTTATTTATTTTTATGTTAGTGTCAGAAGCTAAACCAGCAGTGATGATAGGATTGCTCCTTTAATTATGGAAGAAATTGATTCTGTTAACAGTGTGTGAAAAAAACAAGCATAGGTTCTAAATGCTTTCTACAGCCAAGCATATAAGTTACTGCTTATATTGTTAAGCATTAAACAATAGTAAAAGCACAAAACCCACAGGTGAAATTTAATATATATGAAACAAATCTGAATATTTAGTCCCTGAAATGTTGAATAGAAAATGGTAGAAAATCGTAAATGGTGTGTACTTATATATCAAGTCAGATGATTTGACCAAAGTTCTCTAAAGTCGATCACATGTAATCATTCACCCATTCATGCACACACTCACACACTGATGGTGGCAAGCTACATTATAGCCACAGCTGCCCTGGGCCTCACTTATAGAAGACTGCTGTACACTGGTGCTACCAGGTCCTCTGACCCCCATCAGTTGGCACTTCTGGTTAAGTGTCTTACTCAAAGACACAACAAAACTGAAAGCCCTACCAAGGTAAAAATGTGTTTTCCATGTGTTTTCCATATTGAATATGTTAAAATGTTTCAATTTACTATTTTTAAGTGATGCAGGTTCAGGAGAGTCTAGGAAAATTGGAGGAAGTGTAAAAGAGTTTGTTATTTTATTTCCCTTCCAAGGTTTGGACATCTGTGAACACTTATTTGAACAAAATGTTGATTCTGATATTTTTGAAAAGGTTATGTTATCAAGAATAATGTAGGAAATTTGCACTTGTGTTTAAATAAACCCGCACAGTGAAGCTCTACTTACGTGTACTGTATTAGAAGTATTTTAGAAAAAAAAACTTAAGTTAAAGCCTTTACAGAACTTATTCTGTAAGTTTACAGTTGCATGGTATTTAATCAAATATTATCTTTAGTGGCCCTGTCTGAGGCTTGGTACTTCAGGGCTGAAAATTAGTCCCACTCTGGCCCTGGAGCCACATCACTGGATATAAACCACTCTAGCTAAAGGTTATGTCAAAGACAAAACTAATTTGCAGTAGATTTTTTGTCTATAAAACTTTTAAATATCAACAGATGTTAAAATGTATTTTTTATTCCTTATTCAGGATTAATATGATGAAGTGTTAGGGCCAGACAAAAAATAAATAAATAAATAAATAATGACATAAAGTATTAAGGTCACAAGTTTTTTCTTGCAAAATGATGAGATAAAAGTAATAATATTAGACCTTTATTCTCGTAAAATTATGAGACTCACATTACGATAGAATAAAATCAGCTAATTATTATCCCTTTGGAGCTGATATGCTAAAAGATGCTGATATGCTTAAAGGTTTAATATTTCCTCATTTGCAAAACCAATAACAAAGTATATTGTCAGAAACCCAGAAAACTCGGTCCAATAACAAAAGCTTGTCAGGATCAGGAAATCAGAACCACACAGAGTTGCTGGAGGTACTCCCACACATGGCTTGAATGATCTAATAATATTAATAATTTCACTTTATTGATCTCACACTGGAGAAACTTACCTCGCATGTAACCCATCCCCTTGGGAAGCAGTGGGCTGCAATTGTGCGGTGCCCGGGGAGCAGTGTGGGGTTAAGGGTCTTACTCAGGAACCCAGAGTGCAGGCTGTGGGGATCGTACCGGTTACTTGCAACCTTGTCAAAGCACAGGATCATCTGATCCACCTGCTCCTGCCTCTATTTAAGCTGCCTGCTATCAGCCATCATGCCAGATTATATCTCTGGAGGTGAGATTATTCTCCAGCAAGATGTGAAGAGCGATTCAGCATTACCATGGTGTTTTTGATTACCTGATCCTGGAGAGAGCATTTCAGTGTTACCTTAGTGTTTCAGATTACCTAATCCTGTTCTGCCTCTCCACTACCTAGCCTGCCTGTTCCCATCTGATCTGTTTGCCTGAGCTGTCTTTGGACTCCTTTTGGATTCTGCCTGTTTGGACTTGGAGCTGCTTCTTGTCACTGACCTGGATTTCCCTTTGGAACCTCTTCAGACTTCTGTTCTCCTTTGTTCTGAATCCCGAGCACGTCCTCAACACCGGCTTTGGCTTCGCACTCTGGATTATCCTGCCTTCCTTCATCTGCTTGGATCTTATTTCCTGCCAGTTCTGAAGTCTTCATGGCATCAGCATCTGGAAAAGTCATTTTAAAAATGAAGGTCTCCCCAAGGCTATTCCAAAGTTTTTTACAAGGACAAGTTTAGCATTAGTCCGTGATGTTAAGTTTCACCTGTGCTTTTATTGTGAAAGGCCAACAGACAGCGAGACGTTGACAGGAAATGACATGTCTTTGGATCAGATGAGGTGGATCATCTGATCCACCTGCTCCTGCCTCTATTTAAGCTGCCTGCTATCAGCCGTCATGCCCGATTATGTCTCTGGAGGTGAGATTATTCTCGAGCAAGATCTGAAGAGCGATTCAGCGTTACCATGGTGTTTCTGATTACCTGATCCTGGTAAGAGTGTTTCAGTGTTACCTTAGTGATTTTGATTACCTGATCCTGGTAAGAGTGTTTCAGTGTTACCTTAGTGATT